TCTCTCTCCCCCTCCCCCTCCTCTCTCTCTCTCTCTCTCTCTCTGCATCCTCTTTCGCTCGTTAAATTCGCCGAAACTCGGACCGAAACCGTCCAGTTATTTCACGAACTATCGCGAAACTTTCAAACGCCATTAATCTCCCAAACATCGAAGCAAACCTTGCTCCATCGAGCGTTGGAAAAGTTGGCCAGTTTATTTCCTCGGCCGTTTTCCTTTCCTCCATCTCCATACAGCGCGCGAAACGAGGATCAGTGTCAAGGATCGGTGAACAATTTCGATCGTCGAACGTCCTTGCTCCCCGCTCGACCGCTCGGCCATCCGGCGAGGTTGGTGAAAAAGCGAGCGGAAGAAAAAGAGGGAGGAGCAGCACGACCAAGCCCTTTTAGCGGATCGAGCTTCCTTCGAACACACCGGTACAGAGTTTATTCGCGACTTGTCGCGAGTAAGTGCATCGACCGTCCACCGTTGTGAACCGTGGCCACGTCTCGTCCTCGCCAAGTACGAAACCCGTGGCTACCATACCTGGTGGTGGTGGCACGGTGTGTGTACCACCACCTCGGGCCCTTCCAAGATTGTAAACAGCCGTGCAAGAACCGGGGAAACCAGACGATGGCTAACGTTTGATCCCGCTTCTCTCTCTCTCTCTCTCCTCTTCTTCCTTCCACCTCTCCTTCCTTCCTCTCCGCTTCTTCTTCTTCTTCTTCTTCTTCTTCTTCTTCTTCTTCTTCTTCCTCCTCTTCTTACTTCTTCGAGAGGATCGTCGAGATGCGCCCAGGTGCGAGCGTCGATATTAAGCCGGTCGACGTTCCTTCGCGTCGAGCGCGAGGTCGCCGCTACTCGAACAGGAAGAACTCGAGGAGGAGAGGTATGAAAATTCAGGGAGCAGAGGGAAGAGTAGCAAGCAGCGGTTTTCGAAGGGAGAAAACGGGGGGGGACGTTGTCCAAAGGCGTCCAAAGGATTATGCGATGCGCCAGCCATTGTTTCCGTGGACAGGGCTGGAGAGGTCGTGCACGCCTCTTATTCTTCTTCTCCTTTCTCTTTATTTCTCGCCCGCGACACCGCTGCGGACGTTGATGCATCAGCGGATATGATCCAGCTTGATACCCTTGTTCGTGACAAATGAAGGATTGTTGTCGGTGTTGGCTCAGGAAAACGGGGATAAGGGATAATGTGTAAGAGGGATTAGATAAAAAGAAGAGAGAGAGAGAGAGAGTTGCCACTTGATCGAAGGGCGTGTACGCGTGAAGTAAGCGAAATTGAAGAAAATTGGAATTTGAGATGTTGTTGGATCGCCAGACAGTGGAGAGATTCGAGGTGGAAACTTAAATTAGAATTGAATTGCGTTAAATTTCAACTCTCGGAGTTGGAGAGAACTCCGAGAAACAATCGCGAGACAACGCGTTGATCGTTGTCTCTCTCTCTCTCTCTCTTTACAGGCCACGTATCGTGTCTGGTTTTGAAAGGAAAACGCATCTTACGTCCCAACGTTCTACTCGGAGAGATTCCTCCTTAAGCGAGAAAGTTATACTTAAAGAAAAAAGGAAAAAAAAAGAAGAAGTTCCTCTCTTCGCGTATATACGGAGACACAACGTCCAAGTTACATGTACAACTTCAATTACGAACAACGAAATTACATCGAACTCTCTCGAAATTGGAACGCGATAAATTAATATCGCTCGAGAACGCTATATCTCATATTCTCTCTCTGATCAAGAAATTAATCGAATTAAACACGGGAATTGGCACGAAATTTCTTCCAGGAACCAAGGAAAATGATTCAATCTACAAAATTCAACGTTATTAATG